AGACACATATACAACTACGTAAACATAAATAATCCTATAAAAAAAAAAAGAGACAAAAAAAGAGACAAAAAGGAGACAAAAAGACATAAAAGGAGACAAAAGGAGACACATATACAACTACGTAAACATAAATAATCCTATAAAAAAAAAAGAGACAAAAAAAGAGACAAAAAGGAGACAAAAAGACATAAAAGGAGACAAAAGGAGACAAAAGGAGACACATATACAACTACGTAAACATAAATAATCCTATAAAAAAAAAAAGAGACAAAAAAAGAGACAAAAAGGAGACAAAAAGATATAAAAGGAGACAAAAGGAGACAATTAATATAATATAAATAAAAAGGAAACACATATACAATTACGCACACATAAATAATAAGGAAAAAGGAGACAAAAAAGGAGACAAAAAGGAGACAAAAAGGAGACAAAAAGGAGACAAAAAGGAGACAAAAAGGAGACAAAAAGGAGGAGACAAAAAGGAGACAGTTAAAAAAAGAGACACATGTATGTGCATGCATGCTTGCATGCATGCACTGGGTTGTATGCATGCATGGGGCTTACCCAGGTAGCTATGTCTTGAGCTGCTGTTGTTGCTGCTGCTGCTGTTGCTGCTGTTGTTGCTGTTGCTGTTGCTGCTGCTGCTGCTTCTGCTGCTGCTGCTGCTGCACTATGAGGATTAGCAATAGCAAGAGACAGCTGCTTAGCAGCAGCAGCTAATGCATGCACATTCCTTCTTCTTGCTGCTCTCTCTTCTTCCTCTATAAGGAGACACAAGGAGGCACAAATAAGTAAATAAATAATATTTTAAATAAATAAATAAATAAATAAATAAATAAATATAATGTATACAACAACATACATACACATATAAATATATTTATTATACGGAGAATTGATCAGCAGCAGCAGCAGCAGCAGCACCATCAGAGCAGCAGCAGCAGCAGCAACAGCAGCAGCAGCACCATCAGAGCAGCAGCAGCAGCAACAGCAGCAGCAACAGCACCATCAGAGCAGCAGCAGCAGCAGCAGGAGGAGGAGCTTACTCTCAGGTTCAGGTGTATATGCATGCATATTATGTATATAAAAGGAATGATAAGGAAGCAAAGATAATACTATTTCCTCTAAGGAGACAAATCCCTCTACTGTCTCCTTTTGTCTCCTTCTCTTCTTACGTCTGCCTCCTCCTGCTGCTCCTCCTCCTGCTGCTCCTCCTGTTGTTGTTCCTGTTCCTGCTGCTGCTGCTGCTGCTGCAGGCGTAGCAGCTGCAGCACCGGGAAGGGATCCTGATGAGGGTTGATGATGCTGCTGCCCTTCGTCCTCTGCTGCTGTCTTTGCTTCTGCTGCTGTTCCTGCTGCTGTTGCTGCTGTTGCTGCTGCTGCTGTTGCTGTTGTTGCTGCAGCAGCAGCAGCAGGTTCATCAGCAGCAGATGCGTCCTTAACATGTGTCTCCTTTATTAAGGAGACAGTTGCTGTCTCTTCTTTATCATGGGGGGCCCCCTCTTCTTTCTTAGGGGCCCCCTCCTCTCCTTCCTTAGGGGCCTCATCTTCCTTCTTAGGGGCCCCTCCCTCTACAGGGGCCCCCTCTTCCTTGGGGCCCCCCCCTTTCTCTATGGGGGCCCCCTCTTTGGGGTCAACCCCCTCTTCTTTAGATTCCCCTCCTTGCTGTGCTGCCCCCTCCTGCTGCGGTGTCCCCTGCTGCTGCTGCGGGGCCCCCTGCTGCTGCTGCGGGGCCCCCTGCTGCAGTGGGTATGATTTAGTGTCTACAATTGAGTGTTTATGTTGTATATCTGTTGTAGATGTCGCATCTGCTGCTGCTGCTGCTGCTGCTGCTGCTGCTGTTGCTGCTGCTGCTGTTGGTGGTGGTATTGCTGATTTAGCTGTTGCTGTTGCTGCTGTTGCTGCTGCTACATTAGCAGCAGCAGGAGCAGCAGGAGCAGCAGGAGCAGCAGGAGCAGCAGGAGGAGGAGTAGATTTATTAAATGTATATAATACATGATAAGGAGAGAAGGAACGAATAACATCATTATATACATAAATAATATCCTCGTTAGTTGCTTCCCTGCTGCTGTGTCTCCTCTCCCCACAAATTAACTCAAATTTCTTTAGTATATCCATTATACTGCTGCTGCTGCTGCTGCTGCTGCTGCTGCTAGTGCTGCTAGTGCTAGTGCTGCTGCTACTGCTGCTGCTGCTACTGCTGCTGCTGCTATTGCTGCTGCTGCTGCTGTTTATAGATAGGGAGACACCACCACCACTACCATAACGACGTCTATACCATGCTGCTAAACTCTCTAAAGGTTCACCAGGTTGTCTCTCTGCTGCTGCTGCTGCTGCTGCTGCTGCTGCTGTTGTTGTTGTTGTTGTTGTTGCTGTTGTTCCTGCTGCTGCTGTTGTTGTTGCTGTTGGTGGAGAGGGGGAGTCTGTTGCTGCTGCTGCTGCTGGAGATGGGCTGCTAAGACTGGTGTCCTCTACTGAACCTGTAAGGCCTGCTGCTGCTGCTGCTGCTGTTGCTGCTGCTGCTGCTGCTGCTGGTCCGGCTGCGGTACATGCAGGAGGACCAAGCAGCGGAGCAGCAGGAAGAGTTGTTGCTGCGCCTGTTAGCGGTGCGGCTACAGCTGCTGCTGCAGCTGCAGCTGCTGCAGCAGGATCAGCAGCAGCAGCAGCAGGAGCAGCAAATAAATGGGGTGTCTGTGCAGCAGATAAATGAGGAAATAAAGGAGGCAGCAGCAAAGGGTCCTCATAAGCAGCAAGAGGTTGCTGCACAGAGAAGAGGCCCCCTAGTCGTGTCTGCTGCAGCAGGTACGATGCATGCGGTAGCTGCAGGGGCCCCCCTGGTAGAGGTTTAAGAGGCATTGCTGCTGCTGCTGCTGCTGCAGCAGCAGCAGCAGCAGCAGAGCCAGGGGGAGCTGTAGATGCCCCTAAGACACCTGCTGCTGTTGCTGCAGGGCCACACATAGACATAGATGAATCTGCTAAGGACACACCAGGTCTGCTGCTGCTGCTGCTGCTGCTGCTGCTGCTAGGGTCAGGAGCAAACAAACCTTGGAGGCCCCTCTGTGCAGAAGCAACAGCAGCACCAAACAGAGCAAGACGTTCGCTTAATTCTGCTGCTGCTGTTGCTGCTGCTCCTCCTGGTGCTGCTGCTGCTCCTGGTGCTGCTGCTGCACCTGTAGCTGCTGCTGGTGTTACTGCTGAGGCTGCTGGAGGGGCCGCTGCTGCAGCAACACCAGGTGTACTAACTAGACTGCCGCTCCCTGTTGCTGCTGCTGCAGCAACAGGAGCAGCAGCATTTGCTGCTGATAAAGGAGCTGTCTGGACACCTGGCAGCACAGACAGACCTCCTGCTGCTGCTGCTGCAACTGGAGATGCTGCTGCTGCTGCTGGAGGTGCAACTCCGCCTTTATCCGCTGCTGCTGCTGGAGCTGCTGCTGCCAGCGTTGCTGCTGGTGTAACTGATGATGGTCCTGCTGCTGCTGCTGCAGGCGCTGGTAGTGGCGCTGCTGCTGCAGCTACAGGTATTGCTGCTGCTACGGGTTGCGCTGCTGGTACTGATGCTGCTGCAGTAGCAGGAGAAGGGACAGTAGCAGCGCTTGGGGCTGCTGCTGCTGCAGCAGCAGCAGCAGGTTGCTGCTGAGGTAAGCCTTGTGTCATTGCTGCAGCAGCAAACTGTATACTCCTTGGGGGCCCCCAATTAGGCTACAGAGGCCCCAAGGGGGCCCTTTGTCTGCCCTTGTCTTGCTGCTGCTGCGTCTGTTGCTGTTGTTGCTGCTGCTGCTGGGTATGTTCCTGCCGCAGCAACTGCTGTTGTTGCTGCTGCTGTTGCTGGTGTTGCGGTTGTTGCTGCTGCTGTTGCTGCTGCTGCTGCTAGATAATGGGTACTGCCATAGACGCAGCAAGAGAAAGGGGGCCCTCAAGCAGCAGCAGAGGGCCCCTCGCAGCGGGAGGTCTTAGCAGGTTTGCTGCTGCGGTGTGCGCCCTGCTGCAGCGGCAACAGCAGCAGCAGCAGCAGCAGCAGCAGCAGCAGAGCTCGCTAAATAAGGTATCCAAGGAAGCAAGAAACGGTTACAAGGAAATTCTTTCCTCATGTAAGGCCCCAGAGGCCGCTGCATGCTGCATGCTGCTGCTGCTGCTGCTGCTGCTTCTGCTGCTGCTGCAACGACAGCAGCAGCAGCAGCAGCTGCTGCTGCTGTTGCAGCAGCTGCAGCAGCAGCCGTGTGTGTCTTAAGAGACGCAGCAGCAGAAGTGTCTCTTTTTTTATTTATTAATAAAATTAATTAAATAATAAATTGCTGCTGTATATAAAAAGATGTCTTAATCTGCCTAGTTTGCTGCAGCAGCAACAGTCTGCTGCAGCAGCAGCAACAGCAGCAGCAGCAGCTGCCTACTACCAGCAGCAACTCCAGCAGCAACAGCAGCAACAACAGTAGCAGCAACTGCAGCAGCAGCAGCAGCAGCGCTGCTTCTCCTGCAGCAAAAACCTCCTTATTGACTCAACAGCAGCAGTTCTAAGGAGACAGTCAATAGAGACACCTCAGCAGCAGCAGCAGCAACAGCAGCAGCAGCAACAGCAGCAACAGCAGCAACGGCCTTCCTTTAACTGCAGCAACAGCTGAGGGTCTGCTTCCTCCTCCTGCTGCTGCTGCGGCCCCACACGCAGCAGCAGCACAAGAATCTTGGCAGCAAGTGCGTGTCCCAGCTCTGTTGCAGCAGCAGCAGCTGCTGCTGCTGCAAGAGCAGCAGCAGCAGCATTGGGCCTCTTAGGAGAATAAGAAGGCCCACCGTTAAGCTCAGCAGCAGCAGCAGCAGCGTCTGCTGCTGCTGCCATTCCAGCAGCAACATCATCAGCAGCAACAGAAGCAGCAGAAGCAGCAGCAGCAGCAGCACGAGATGGATGCCTCGCTGCTGCTGCAGCAGCAAATAGAAGTTGAGGTGTATACGGATTGTCTCCGCTTAGTGCAGAGGAGACAAGGAGGTGCTGAGATGTACATACACCGTATCGATCCTTCTGCTGCTCAACCCCACAGCAGCAGCAGCAGCAGCAGCAGCGACAGCAGCAGCAGCAATAGCGGCATCTTACGTCTATCGACCTCCCGACCAGGAGCTTCTGCTGCTCCCTCTGCTGCTCCTGCTGCAGTACACCAGCAGCAGCAGCAGCAGCAGCAGCAGCAGCATGTGTTGCTGCATACGTACAGCTGCTGGGGTGTATTTGGGGTGTATGTGCAGCAGCAAGGTGGCTGTTTGCTGCTGATTGATGCAGCAGAAGAAAAGGGACAAATAGGGGACAATTATATACTGCATGTACGTACATTTAGGGCTATTGATCTAAGGCTACCTCAGCAGCAGCAGCAGCAGCAGCAGCAGCAACAGCAACACCAACAGCAGCAACCGCAGGAGCAAGAGCTGCAGCAGCAGGAACAGAAGGAGGAGCAGCAACAGCAACAGGGACAGGAAGGAGATGAGAATGCGCACCATAAGCAGCAGCAGAAGCAACAGCCGAAGCAGCAGCAACAGCAGCAACAGCAGCAGCAGCAGCAGCAGCAGCAATGGACATTACGTACAAGGAAGCTAAGGAGACCATTAAGACTTCAATTACTTGATGAATCAGCAGCAGATGTCTACTTAACAGAGATTGTTGCTGCCCCCAGCAGCAGCAGCAGCAGCAGCAGCAGCAGCAGCAACGACAGCAGCAGCGACAGCAGCAGCAGCAGCAGCATGGACTGCGGCTGTCCCTATATCCCTTGGGTATTGGAGACACTTGCAGGGGGACACTTCTTCTTCTCTCCTTCCTTTGATCTAACTGTCTCCTTGCAGCAGTCCCTGCAGCAGGCAGCAGCAGCAGCAGCAGCAGCAGCAGGAGAAGCAGCAGGAGCAGCAGCAGGAGCAGTACCAAGAGCAGCAGGAGCAGCAGCAGCAGACGGTTCCCCTCCTGCTCCTGCTGCTTCTTCTGCTGCTGCTGCTGGTGTCTGCTGCAGCAAGGAGAGAGAAGGAGACAGATTCCTGTTTAATAAGTTGCTGCTGCTGCCGCTGCAGCAGCACGCTGCAGCATTTGGTGTACGAGCTATACAAGGGTCTGTCTCCTTTTTTATTTATATTCTCTCCTTTTTTTTTGTCTCCTTTTTTATTGTCTCCTTTTTTATTGTCTCCTTTTAGCTGCTGCTGCTGCTGTTGTGCATTGTGTGCTGCTATTGTTGCTGCTGTTGCTGCAGCAACACTTACAGCAGCAGCAGCAGCAGCAGCAGCAGTTCTGCTGCAGCAGCATATTGCTGCTACCTCAAATAAGCTACTATTGCTGCTGTTGCTGCTGTTGCTGCTGCTGCTGCTGCTTGTGTGCATGCAGATATGTAGGGTCTGGTTGCTTATACAGCAGCAGCACGAGTTTGCTGCTGCTGCTGCTGCTGTCAAGGAGAGACACCTCACGTATAGGCACAAGATTACATTGTAGGGGAATTAATACACAAGGTATACATATTTATTTTCTCTTTTTTTTTTTTTTATTTATACTGTCTCCTTTTTATTTATACTGTCTCCTTTTCTTATTTATACTGTCTCCTTTTTATTTATACTGTCTCCTTTTTATTTATTTTCTCTTTTTTTTTTTTTATTTATACTGTCTCCTTTTTATTTATTTTCTCCTTTTTTTTTTATTTATACTGTCTCCTTTTTTATTGATACTGTCTCCTTTTTATTTATATTGTCTCCTTTTTATTTACTGTCTCCTTTTTTTTGTCTCCTTTTTTTTGTCTCCTTTTTATTTACTACTGTCTCCTTTTTATTGTCTCCTTTTTATTTATAGTGTCTTCTTTTATTTACAGTGTCTCTTTTTTTATTTTATTGTCTCCTTTTATTGCTGCTGCTGCTGCTGCTGCTGCTGCTGCTGCTGTGTGTCTTAGGAGATGCTGCTAACTTTGTGGAGACTGAGCAGCTGCTGCTGCATTATTATCACGACCCCTTGCCTGCATATATTTCTCCCTTTACGGATACCAGCAGCAGCAGCAGCAGCAGCAGCAGCAACAGCAGCAGCAACAGCAGCAGCAGCAGCAGCAGCAGCAAGAGCAGCAGCATCAGCAGCAGCGGGAGGAGGACATGGAGGTTGGATATACAGAGCTCTGTACAGATACGCGGATCTATACCTCTCCTATGGCAGCAGCCACCAACACTCAGGTACAGCAGCAGCAGCAGCAGCAGCAGCAGCAAGAGCAGCAGCAGCAACACTGCAGCAAGAGCAGCTCGCCGTAACAGCTGCCAATCTTCTGCAGCTGCTGCAATTGCTGCAGGAGTGCAGCAGCGCAGCAGTAGCAGCAGAACGTCTTTCCCCGTTGCTACTTTCCTATTTTGCTGCTGTTGCTGCTGTTGCTGCTGCTGTTGCTGCTGCTGTTGCTGCAGTTGGTGCCCTACCCCTCGTCTTGCTGCTGGACACGAGGAGCAGATTGCTGCTGCAACTCGCCACTTTGAATCTCTATTCAAGTATGCTGCTGTTGCTGCTGCTGTTGCTGCTGCTGCTGCTGCTGTCGTTGCTGCTGTTGTTGCTGCTGTTGCCGCTGCTGCTGTTGCTGCTGCTGCTGTTGCTGCTGCTTGCAGCGTTAGTTGTTGCCTCACTAGATGCTGCAGCAGCTTTGCTGCTTTGGGGTATCAACTAGCATGCATGCTGCTGTAGCTGCTGTTGTTGCTGCTGCTGCTGCTGTTGCTGCTGCTGCTGCTGCAGGCGCTACGGAGAGGTGGAGGCAGTTAACTTGGTAGATAAGCAAGGCTGGCAACGGGTAAGGCAACTGTCTCCTTTTATTGTCTCCTTATCTGTCTCCTTATTACTGTCTCCTTTTCTTATGTGTCTCCTTTTGTCTCCTTTTTATTGTCTCCTTTTTATTGTCTCCTTTTTATTGTCTCCTTTATCCACAAGCACGTGCTGCTGCTGCTGCTGCTGCTGCTGCTGCTGCTTCTTGCTGCAGACTCTGGGAGAGAAGATGCAGGAAGTGCTGCAGCACATCAAGCATGTCCATTGTACCTGGTGAGCAGCAGCAGCAGCAACAGAAAGAGCAGCAGCAGCAGCAGCAGCAGCAGGAGTAACAGCAGCAGCAGCAGCAGCAGCAGCAGCAGTGCTGCACCTTTAGCCCCTATAAGGAGCGTCACACACATCCTCGATGCTTGGCGTTGCAGCAGAATTTGATGCCGCCGCTGCTGCTGCTGCTGCTGCTGTTGCTGCTGCTGCTGTTGCTGCTGCTGCTGCTGCTGCTGCTGTTGCTGCTGCTGCTGTTGCTGTATAGGTTTGATTTTCATGCTGAATGTAAGAATATGCATTGGGAGAATGTAGGGAAGTTGCTGCAGCAGCTGCAGCAGCAAATAGATACACAAGGGTCCCTTCGTGTCTTGCTGCTGCCTGAGGAGACAGCAGCAGCAACAGCAGCAGTTGCTGTCCCTGGATGGCGGGTTGGGCAGGTAAGCGTTGCTTCTTCTTCCTGCTGCTCCTGCTCCTGCTGCTGCTCCTGCTGCCACCACTGCTGCTGCTGCTGCTGCTGCTGCTGCTGCCTCTTGGTTGCAGCATACACTGCCTACCATTGCTGTTCTTGCTACCGCTCTTTCTTCTGTCTCCTTTTATTGTCTCCTTTTACTCAGTGTCTCCTTTTATTATTTGTCTCCTTTTGTCTCCTTTTATTGTCTCCCTTTATTGTCTCTTTTTATTGTCTCCTTTTATTGTCTCCTTTTGTCTCCTTTTTGCTGTCTCCTTTTGTGTCTTATTAGGTGTATAGACAGCAGCAAGGAGTAATAAGAACAAATTGTATTGATTGCTTAGATCGTACTAATGTAGTACAGAGTGTCCTTGCTAGGGCTGTGCTGCAGAAACAGCTTGCTGCTGCTGCTGCTCCTGCTCCTGCTGCTGCACCTCCTGCAACAGCAGCAGCAGCAGCAGCAGCAGCAGCAGCAGCAGCAGCAGGTCCCTTCGCCCCTCTTACGGTGTCTCCTTATGCTGAGGAAATTTTTAGGTCTTTATGGGCAGCAAACGCGGATGCGATCTCCATTCTTTACGCAGGTACGCAGCAGCAG